TTGGCGCCAGAATCACTTCTGGCGTTAGGCGTGTCATTATGCCGCCAGATGCGATTCTGGCGGTATGGCGCGCTTGGTTGGTCTGGTGCCAGATCAGCCAGACGTGTTTTATTTTGCTGATGTCATTACACTGATTCCAACTCTATGTACATTGCGGCTCAGAAACCACAAAAAATGGGAACCAGCTTTAGAGCACGGAAAAGAGCATGAAGAAAGATTTCGCATACCTTCACAAGGTATTTCAGAGCAGTAAGATCCCCAGGACGCCCACAGAGGTACTATCCCCCCCCGCCGCGCCGGACAAACCTACTGCTCGGACAAACAAACATTTCTCGTCCAATACTGGACCGTTTCATAAGATTTTTGGCTTCACATAAGCTGTAGGAGGTGCTCTAGAGATATAAGGTTCAAAACCTCTACAACTTCGCATCCTTTAAATATATATCACCGCCGAAAGTTGACAACTTGGGCCATTATCGCAAATTTAGCCTATCTGAAGGCCTAGGGCCCTGACGCGAGGGTCATATTATCCTCTGAATGCATCTCAAATATACCTTGACATCGTAAGAGTTCCCATATAAAATTTCAGAGGCATAGCTGTCTTGTAGCTGTCACACTGAGCCGAAAGACGAAGACATGCCTGCCAAATTGATATCTCAACTGGCAAAAATGATGGCAAGAAAATTCATGCTGCCCATTGACCATCCGGGACATGCCTCAGCTACTTCTTCAGGGATATCATACTTCTTATCGAGTAGCTCTACCCTATAAGATTTGGAGGCGCCTCGACCGCAAGAGGGTCAGATACGAAGCTGGCAATCCAAATTTGACGTGTTACCTAGTACTCGGACACGTGGCAACCTCGGAAAAAACGACGCCGTTTGAACGATTCTTACCCATTTCTCATGAAGTAAGATTTGGATCTGGGGTAAAAGACAGATTCATGTCGATCTACATACTCAGCTTGACCCAAAAACCATTGGATAAATTGCTATATTGCAATTTTCCTTAAGTGTCCGAGATCTAGGGGGGGGGATAGTACACACAATTCCGATGAGATGGCTCAAAAAATTTGGCCGAACCCTTTTTCTCATGGGAAAATTCCGGTTTTAGGCATATTTTGGGGTGCTGAATCTGAATCTGAACTCAGCTTTGTTGGCTTTGACTGTCTGGCACTATATATCTACAGCATATGTGGCATTTCCGTGGCCACCGGCAAGTAGGGATGAAGGACCTCTCTTGTTGCACCTTCTGGTGTTGTTTGGCGTTTGTATGGGAGTATAATTATCCTTAGAAGAAATTCCGGTCAAAGTTCATAAGTGGGGTCGATGTTGGTTCGAACCCTCCCAGATGGATATCGACACAAGGTTTTTCATCCACACAAAGGTAGTCAAGTTACGAAAGTGTGGGTGGAACAGGGAAAATAATGTTGAACTTAACCAGTACTAGTCAGGCGCTCGCATGTTGTGCTATTTCACCGAGACAATCTGAGCATGAGAACTGTGTTCAGATACCCAAGCTGCAGGCGTCCGGTTGAAACCTAGGATTACGTCTGTTAAGGCTGAATGAGCGCAAAGACAGGCCAGCAATCTAGGCTTATCTACGGGAAAAGACTCGGCAAAATACTGTGCCCAATGTATTTGTCAGTGCGTTTTTTTTCCCGCGTTCATTTGTGACACCCATTTTTGGCCCCCAGATCAGAAATGTTGTTAATTAACATGTTGGGGGTATGTCTTGGTTTTCACACCCTATATTCTTCAGGGCTCACGAGGATGATGACACACAGGCGGTGTTCAAGGCCTGTACTTCAATAAAGCTGGTGAACGGAGTCGCCGCATAGATGATGGCGGTATCCCATTTTTCCGAGCGCAAGATGTCACATTTTTCTTTTGGAATGACATTACAAGACTGATATGGCAAGAATGTATTATATCACTCCAGCGACACGGCTTGGGCATTCAGACTCGCTTCGCATCTACATCCTTGGTCGGCACCTGCTCGGTAGGTTCACCGCGCCTCCTAAAGTTTATTCCTCCATCCCAGCCAACCCACGTGGTCCTCGCGACATGCGAACCTCGCGATACAAGGAACAAAAGTTCAAGTCCGCCAAAGACTACCCGAATCCCAGAACTTAATTTATATCCTCCTTCCGCGAACAATTTGGTGCCCACCGCGGTCCCCATTACTTGGCCCTATCGAATGGGAATGTGGGTGTGTCCAGGTGAAGACCGTGAGCGGAATACGCACGAGCAAGATCTGTGAGCAGCTGAAATCTAGCGGTTATCAGTTTCACAGGCAAGAGTCTGCATACGGAAAAAATGAGGACAGTGTTCAACCGAGCCCGCGCCTCGGGGGCAATACTGGTCATGGATATCAATTTGGATGAGTCTAAGTGCTGGTCGAACTCCTACCTGAACAATTTGGCCGTCACCGACACTTGAGTTCCTTGAGTGCCGATATCCAATACTGCCATTGACAACATTGAGCGAAAGATAGAAAAATTGAATAGCCTGTACGAACTCATAATGGCGAGAACAACAGCGGCAATATTGACCTCCCCCGCGAGCGTTTGGATGACTTGAGACGCAATGACGTGCAAGACGCACACAAAGGTCGCCATCCATGGCACCAGCCCATCAACTAGTCTCCCGACCACGGGAGCCATGGTGATACCCACCATTCCCACAAGACCGAACAGACCAATCACCAAACTGGGGAAACTGATTAATCCGAACATCTTTGAAAGGAACGAGGACATACGTCGAGTAATGATATGGTGCGCCGCCGAGCAAAAATGTCAGTGTGATCCAGAATCCACTGAAGATTGCGGAATTGCAAAAAATCATGAGGTAGCCCTGTACCAGTGTGGGTTCAGTGACGGCAAATTTGACCATTGTCTTGAGGATTTGGAAGTACGAGAGGTTCGCATTCTTCGCCGGTGTGTCAGGAGTGATGAAATATAACGCGATCATCAATAGATATTGTCCTGAACAACAGAAGAACAATTAGAGGATATACAGTGCCAACCAGAGAAAACAGATTTCACCGGCAGCACCCATCCAGTATATATTGCGATAGCTTGAAAGCTGAGCAATGATTCCAGAGAGTACCCGGGCCAAAAGAGCACCCAGTAGCACACCCGAAAATACTATGGACATGAAGGTAGCTCGTCGGTTTGGAGGCGCTAGGTCAGCGGCGAGAGGCATTAGGACCTCGCCAAGGCAGTTTTGTCAGTATCCGGGGATTCGCAATAGGATAGGTACTTACTTGCGGAGTTAAGGAAGCAAATCCGACAAAAAATGAGAGAACTTCGAATACAACCAGTGAGCGGGTAACAGCAAGTCCGATCGTCAGTGATCCAGAGGCAAGGATGAGAACTAGGAGGAGCGGCCTTCTCCGGAGCAAATCTCCGAGCGGTGTAACAAGGAGCAGTCCAGCAGCATACATGAACATAAATGCATCAACTCGTTGGGTAGTTCAGTCTTTAATTAATGAGTTACCAACCCGACTTGGAGCAGCACCTGGATTCGTGATACACCTACATCATCAACCTTGAACTCGTGTGCCAGCTCAAGAAGAATGGGCTGGTTGTAGTACATATTCCTGACTGTCGAGTGTGTCCGTCAGACCCCAAAAGAAGATGATAAAGGTGTACTCGCTGCATGCAGGAATTGGGATCAACCAGCGATTGTCAGATGTAGACATACATACTGAAAGTGCTTGCAAAGAAGAAGGCGATGGTTTTTGCGTATCCTGTGGGCTTGGGCACTGCAGTCGAATCGATCCGACACGATTGTGGAATTGGTAGAAAGCCGAAGTCCCGGGTAGGTCTGCTGTACTCGGCTGATACTGGGTTCTCTGAACTTGAAGGTCGCTCGCCGCCCGTACCGTTTTCATTCATCGCGGTGGCGGTACCGAAGGTCAAAGATGAGCGGCAGACCGTTCCGCATTCCGATGACCATTTATTTTTGAACTTTCGGGCCGCATGCCAAAGATCAGCCCGAGATAAAGTTCAGGCTTCACAGGCCCAATGCATTGCCGCAGGTGCCCTGTTTTTTAGTGTCCCGTATTCCATGAAATATACTACAGCACATGTGTATCACAAGGGAAACCAGAATAATATCATCGGAATAGTACATTGCCTTCAAACGTTCGAGTTGCAATATGCGAGGTACAGTACTACGAGCATTCCGTTGTAGCATCTGTTTATAAGAGACTACGGATTTTCTGTAGAATTACTGTACTTGGCCGCTGAATGTTCAGATGAGGTAGGGTCCTGAACTGGTGTGTAGGTGAAGGTGACGGCGAGAATTTTGAGCCCAAATAGGCAAACTTCTTCGGATTTGCTGAGCCACAAACTAGCTGGCGGGTGTACAGGCCATGAACATTTCAAAATAAAGGAAATAATTGCTTCTCCTTCAACAAATGGGCCGCAATACACTAAGATTATTTCATGGACGGGACCATCCCATTCACCGATTGATAGCGCTAACTGAGTAGTGGGGCAGACACCACTTTCAAGAAATTAGGGCGTCCATATTACTCTGAGACGATGGAAGTTGTGGTTTTCTTCAAAAGTGCTGTAGTATATTCGAATCCCATCAGAGGCATGGTTGTTAGCTACAGAAACCGTTTTTTTCTCCCATTTCGGGGCTTTCTTTGTTCGCTCCATTCATGCTTCTCGTTCAAAGTACCCCATACCGCTGCGAGCTCGAGTTCTCATTCGATTTGAAAGAATTTACTGTAAATTATGGAGTTTGAATGCACAAAATGCAGATCAAGGGAGACTATGAATTTCACCCCGCGGAAGTTTATTAAGGACTCACAGGTAGCTTTATTAAGGACTCACAGGTAGCAAAGCTCCAAATAAGACTCTAGAAGCCTCTGTGGATTAATTGGCAACTCACCTCTGTTACATTCGGCTTGTATTTGCATTGGAGAGGGTTGATGTTCAATCATTTATAGATAGCCGAGCTAACGATTCAGACACGGCTCTCGAAGCCTCTGTGGATTAATCGGCAACTCAGCTCTGTTCAGTTCTGCGTTTACCGGAGACCATTGCGAGAGTTGATGTGGGTTCGAATCCCACCAGAGGCATGTATCTGTGCTCACACTTTTTCTTTCTTTCTTTCTTTCTTCGTTTTCTTTCTCTGTAGATCTTGCGGTCGTTGATGCACCCATAACAAATGTGTGCGAGGGATAATGGCGCAGCTGGAATAATGTTGAACTTCCAGGTGCTCGCATGTCTCAAAGTTGTTGTGCTAAAGTATTTCACCAAGACCATCTGAGCCTGAGAAACCATGTTCAAACATTCACAAATAGCCAAGCTAAAAACAATGCCCTAGCCTTTGTGGATTAATTGGCAAAATCAACTCTGTTCAGTTCTCCAGTCCGCTATTACGAGAGTTGATGTGGGTTCGAATCCCACCAGAGGCATTCCGTCTTCGTAGTTCCTTTTCCTTTTTCCTTCTCTGTATATCTGGCAGTCGTTGATGCATTCCTAACAAAGGCGTGCGAGGTGTACCGGAGCGGAGCGGGAAATAATATTGAACTTGACCAGTGCTCGCATTCTTAAAGTTGTTGTGCCATTGCATCAAAAACCATCTGGCTGAGCCTGAGAACTGCGTTTAAACATCTACAGATAACCAAGCTAAGGACAAGGCTCTGGAAGGCTCTGTGGATAAATTGGAAAATCACCCCTGTTACGTTTGCCCCTTGCGTATAAGTTGGAGAGTTGATGTGAGTTTGAATCTCACCAGAGGCATGATCTCAAACAAACGTCTTTTTCGCCCCTTCTCGCGGGCTTTCTTGTTCGTTCGATCCTTGCTTCTCGTTTGAAGCCCCTCATACGACTTCATTGTTGAAAGAATTAGATTTTTTCCTGCTTTGTTGAAGTTCCGATGTATAGTGCATTCCCGCTACCGTAAGGTACGGGTCTTAGAGAGCCTGATTTTTGATTTTGGCCGTGCATCACATTTTCGTCAGCATCTTTCGCGTAATCGCATTTTCTCTCTGCCAAAGTGTGTCGGCTTCCATCAGCCGGCTCTCCCGCCGATGATCGCCGACGCAAGACTGAGTAATCCTGCTGACTCTGTCCTCGGATGCTTAACCGAGAATTTATTTCCTGTTCGGTTTGCTTCAGGTTCAAGGCCACTCGCTAACGCTGAACCCGAACCTGGTGTTCGGTTCGGGCAGCCGCTGAACCTCGTTTGTGCATCGTCCTTCGTCTTAGGTCGACGTGGTGGCCGTGAGACTTGAAAATCCCGATTGGTTGCAACTTGCAAGGGGGCCGCGGCCGATAGGCTTCCCGGCGCAACGCGGGTCCTGGTGAGGACACCGACAAATAATGGTCCTGCTATGCAATAAGCAACCGCTACCATAAATAATAATGCCAATGAATGACGAGTACTAGATAGATATTTGGATACAAATTAATGGTGTTTGGAAACCAAAACCAACAGAATGTTGAAATATCAAGACGGGATGGATTCGGTGAATCACAGACTTGGTAATTCAAACCAATGAAGGGTGAGAGGGAAGGCAAAGAAGAAGCCCGACCTTGCCAGCACTAACATTATAATGTTGCCACGCCAAGGATGAGGTATCGGCCTATTTTAATTGGGAACAAGCCTGAGTCCGGTCACATATTGAAAGGAGCGAGAGAAATCTGGATCAGGAAGATGATAGCCAGCTAATTTATACAATCTGTGGTACCATATTTTTTGGGCGAAGGATTAAGAGAAATAAAAGCAAAGTAGGTAAGAATAATGGCGTATGAGTTGGAATAAATTGGAAGATGAATGTGAATCATTCCTGAGTCACTGGTAGAATCATAAGAACGAAACGCCGCTGTCCATGTTATTCTTGAAGACAATATCGCACATTTGAGACATAGGATACGGATTTGGGAGCACCAGCGATGAGGTGTTGGGCCGAGACGGGAAGCGCCATGCGGATCAATAAAACAAGGGCGCGAACTCTCTCTTTTAGCAACATTTGTCGTCGCTATGGAATTCAGCACCTTGTTCCTACCCTTCTGGGTTATAACTGGCCAATCACTTATCAATCGACCATACTGCGTACCTTCACTAATTCAACTTGAATATTTCCTCGCATTTACTTCTCATGCTCTGGAACAGTACTCTACTAGTAGCTGAAGCGGCGAAGTCACATTAGAGCTCGGACTTCGCAACTGTTAAACCGCTAACTTGAGTGGGGGCTACCAGGCATGTGTCGGCTTTTTGCGCTGCACCTTCTGCTCAGAGCTGAACTGAGCTTGTCCTTAATGCGGTATCACTTGCATTCTTGGTCGCCGGGGCTCTCCTTGTTGTTGTACCGGGCTTCGCATTCCCGTATTTTACATGTAGTTTATTTGAACCCCCTTCGACCGGCGTTAATCACATTCATCCAAGTTACTGTGGATTGGTGCCAGAGGTTCCCTTGACATTCCTCTGCTAATTTCCTTTGTTTGGCACGAAATAAGTGCCTCGTGTGTGTGTGTTGCGTTACAAGATAGTAATTCAACTCATTTTCGGACTGATCTCGTGACATATGATCCTCCCATCTACATCAGTGTTCTCCTTTAAGGCCTTATTAAGGGTCGAGTTTTTCGTTAAGCCCTTAAACCCTTAATAATCCTTAATTAAGGCCTCAAAATTAAGGCCTTAAGTTGGCCTTTGGCCTATTTTTTCCGGATATTTTATGAGCTAGATTAGACCAAAAATAGTGTACTGCGAGTCTTAAAGCATGAATCCTGAGTCCTTCTTGGTGTCTGCTTCATTTGATCACTCGAAGGGGCAAATAGATTCCTGCCGCTGTTGCGTCCAAATTTTGGCACCTGGAATGGTACAGCTTGTACAGTGGGATCACATTCCGTTTTCTACTTGACAAAGTGGGTATTGGCTTTCAATTGAACCACAGGTGTTTTTGTTGTCGGCGGCCCTTTGATGCAGGATTTGATGCCATCATAAGCCTTAATTAAGGCTTCACAAAAATCTAGCCGTTGTTAAGCCTTAAGTGTTAAGGCCTTATTAAGGCTTAAGTCATCTTAAGGCTTAACCCTTAAGGAGAACACTGATCTACATCCATCTACAACCGGAATTCACGCTGTCCTGGTACTAGCCAGACTCATGAACAAAAAACCGAAGTCCAAAAAAAGGTTTTCACAGGAAGGTGAACTCACAGTTGAAGAGCAGAAGTTCGCATCCACACGAACATAATTGTAGCGCAGCTTTACTCCGTGGTGGTTACGATAGTTGATTCGTCCATCCGTACGCCTCAACACGTGAAGTGTTCTATTTGCAAGGATGGAAAGGTAAATGAGACATGAAGATATATCTGCTGCGACACAATTAAATGCCAGCTGGTCGACGCTTGCGCATCTACCAAGCGAGCTTTGCCGTCCTGGAATGCACACATATTTCATATTTAAGAATGAAACCAAGATATAGTTTTGAGCCTGGTAGCGGGCCGTGCCGCTAGTCGGCCCTATTGGTTTTATTTTGAAGTGAAAAACCCGGGGTGAGCTCATTCAGATTTCATACTCGATGGTAGTAAACCTGTGAGTAACTCAGTAAGGGTAACAAAGTCTCTGTGGATTAATTGGTCAAATCACCTCTGTTATGGTTCGTAATCAGACCCAGTGAGAATCCCAGCGAGATCTATCGAGCCTAAACGAGGTAGATCGAGGAATCGAGCTCAATCGAGGTAGATCACGTCTGAACGAGGTTTTTTTTTAGCGGAAGCCACAAACCTCGAAGTTTCTTTCTCTCACCTCGTCCATTCGCACTACACTTCCGCACGTTGTCGAGACGGCTCACACGATGACGTAATTAATTTAAATCGTACGATTTCGGACTTGTCGTTCTGGCTCACTTTCTCTCCGTTACCACCACCTTCCCCGTCCCTTTCCCGCCGTTGTGTCCCCGTCCTCCTTCGTCCTCCGCCTCCGCCTCCACCTCCGCCGTCCGCCTTCGCCCTGGCCTGCTCAGCTCCGACTCGGAGTCCCGGTCCAGTTTTGAGATCTTGAGAGCCCGCGCGAAAGGGCGAGACGGTGCGTGAACGGTTTTCTTGGGGCAATAGACTAACTCGATATAGCCTTTCCAGATCCCCCCCGCGCTACGCTACCATTCTTGGACCGGACATGTACGTCTTCGCTTCAGCGCTCTATTGCGCAATCTCCCTCGCTTATACTCATTTTCAAAGTCGACCGGACACCACTGTGTATTGTGAGTCCTCCCCCCGACTCGACCCTTTTCTTGCTGACTTCGACCTTCCTTAGCTTGTATTGCGATGGAATTGACTGCGTCCGCCAGGAGTACTTATATATTGTACGCCCCTTGTTCAGAGTTCTTTCTTTCTTGGCTGTCCTTGTTCCCTCCCTTCCCTCTGCGACTTTCCCTTCCGCTCCCCGTCTCGCCTGCCGGCCGGTCCCGAATCGTGGCTGCATCTTTCCGCTGCGCCGCGGGTTGCTCGACACATGCGTGCCCCGCGTGCGGTCGAGTATTTTTAGAATTTATACCAATGTAATACCTGTAGCTAGCAACCGGCGTGAATGTATGGAATTTATCTCTGTACCTCTTTCTGCCTCGATGCATATCTCGATTCTCCTCGATGTGCGTCTATTCGCCTCGATCACCATCGAGGTGTATCGACAATAGTCCAGATTATCGAGGCAAAACGAGAAACCTCGATCTGCCTCGACTGGGCTCGATATATCTCGCCGGGATTCTCACTGGGAATCAGATTGGAGCGAGTTGATGTGGGTTCGAATCCCACCAGAGGCATAGAGGTGCTGTCCGGTTTTCGGTTTTCTTTCTCTGCAGATCTGGTGGTCGTTGATGTATGCTAAACAAAGGCATGCAAGGTGTAAAGGAGCGGAGCTGGAAAGAATGTTGAACTTAACCAGTAATACTAATCAGGTGGCATTTAAAGTTGTTGTGCTATTTCACCAAGACCATCTGGTGTTCAAACATTTACAGACAGCCAAGCTAAAGACAAGGCTCTGGAAGCCTTTGTGGATTAATTGGCAAAATCAACTCTATTCAGGGGACTGTTCGGTCGGACCGTTACCGGAATTGATGTGGGTTCGAAATCCCACCAGAGGCATACACATGCACTTGTTTACTCTTTTTTTCTTCCTCTGCAGATCTACTGGTTGTTGGTGCATCCGTAAAAAAGATGTCCGAGGTGTAAGGGAGCACTATTGGAAATAATGTTGAGCTTAACCAGTACTAGTCAGGTGCTTGCATTCTTAATGTCGTGTGCTATTTTCACCAAGACCATCTGGTGTTCAAACATTTACACATAGCCAAGCTAAGGACAAGGCTCTGGAAGCCTCTGTGGATTAATTGGAAACTCGACTCTGTTCCATGTAATGTGGATTAGTTTGACCACTACGAGAGTCGATGTGGGTTCGAATCCCACCAGAGGCATGGAGGATTTTTTTATCAACTCTTACTTACTGGATGATGTAGTTCTGTCTGCACTCACTCCTGAACTCGCTGTTTCGTAGTTTTCCTGGATTTGCCTGTGCGAACTCGAGGAGCTATTCTGTTTTTGTTCAAGTCAAGTTCGATTTGTTCGTTTCCGATCGAAAGAAGCGACGACCATGCGACACTTTAAATGAGGGCCCCGCATCCCAAGAAATCAATTGAGCTTGTTGGAAATACACTTTTCCCGACCCCGCAACTTTGACGCGACGCCGAGGAAACCCGCACCAAACGGGGATAACATACGCCCGGCCCGCCGTCAGCTGATCGCTTCATCATTCCCGGTCTGCCGCCACCACAAAAATCTGGGGTTTTTTTTTTGGCGCGTTATTCGAGGCGAGCTGGGAAGACACCTACAGACAGGGATGTTGGCCCCGGCGAAGACAAATGAAGAAGATGACAAGACAAGAAGAGGGCACGAAGTTTACCAAGTCTTCTGGGACTGAGTTACATAGAACGGGTCAGCTGGTGTTACGGCGGGTATATAACCCGTGGTTCCCCGCAACCGACTAGCCGTATTGGTGGCTTTATAACACTCCATCGGACTCTACTTGACTTTACCACAAGAGAAGAAACAAGGATGGCCAACGCGATGTTTACGCACGAGTTCAAGGGCGGGTCGTTCCAAGGCAAGACAAGCTTCCCCACTGGGCTCTTCATCGGTGGAGAGTTTCATGAGGGGACGGGCAAGAAGACTATTGAGTGTGTCCTGCTCTCTGCGTACCATGGATCGATCATCGCTGACCATCGCCTCAGTGTAATCAACCCCACCACCGCCAAGCTCCTCACCAAGATCCCCGAAGCCACCCCCGAGGACGTCGACACCGCCGTCAAGGTCGCGCAGAAGGCGTTCGACACCGTGTGGGGACTGAATGCCGCGGGATCGCTGAGGGCGGAGCTGCTGATGAAGCTGGCTCTGTTGATGGAGAAGCATCAGGACGAGCTGAGTGCGATTGAGGCGATTGATAATGGTGAGTGGGTTTTGCAGGTGTGGGTGCGTGTGGATATCGTGGATACTCGCATCCACACCTCCGTCCTTTTCCCCTCCCTCCTCTACATCTCTGCATAGATGTGACCCAAAATCGATGCTAACACGCACCTCACAGGCAAGACCTTCACCTGGGCCAAGAACGTCGACGTCGCGTTTAGTATTCAGACTATCAAGTGCGTTTTTCTAGCCTCTACATATCTCTTCTCTTTCGTCCCCATCTGTGTCCCTACATCTTTATGGGCTTACGCGTCTTCTTGGCGCGAAAGGCGCGAGCTTTGTGTTGACCAGCCTCGCTGGCCTTGCCTTGCTTGCCTCCGTTAGCTCCGCCTTGCGTCCCTCCTCCCTCCTATCACCCACCCACTACCCTCCTTCCGCACCTACCTCCAGGAGTCCCTTCCCTCCACTCCCACTCTCCCACCTCCTCTCCCACTCTCCCTCCTCCTTTCCCCCGCCTTCCCTCCCTTCCCCCCTTATCCCTTTGCTCGCATCCGCGTTTACCGCAAACTCTTCCCCTCATCAACGCTCGCATCACTCGCTGACCCCCACCTCTTAGATACTACGCCGGCTGGGCCGACAAGATCTCAGGCCAGACCATTGAGACGGACGAGAAGAAGCTGATCTACACGCGACACGAACCGATTGGGGTCGTGGGGCAGATTATTCCTTGTGAGTTGGCGTGTTTTTTATTGTTTAAGAGAGGGAGGGGAGGGTTTTTTCCTTCTTTGAGACGATGACGTGTGGCGTGGCGCTGCGTCGGTATCCAATGGTCGAGGGTGCGACGGCGCGCGCACTGTGTTTTTGGAAGCGCGCCTCTTCGTGGCCTTCTTGTCTCTCTTTCGTGTAGCCTGTAAGGATGGGGTTTTTGATGGGGGCGGCGCGCGGCGCGGGCTTCTTCGCTAACAGGGGGGATGCGTGTGGGGCCGGGCGCGGGGAATTCGCACACGCTTCTATCCTTCTTGTAGCGGGCGCGGCGTGTTCCCGCCTCACCTAGCCTTGTCTTGCGCAACGGCACGCACTTCTCGGTCTTTCCCCCCTCTCCTTTCCTGCTCTTCCTCCTTGCATCTCTTTACTCGAGAATACCAACTTATTTATTTGCCCAGGGAACTTCCCCCTCCTCATGTTCTCGTGGAAGATCGGTCCCGCGCTCGCGGCGGGGAACACGATCGTGATCAAGGTGGTTTTCTTTTCTTTTCTTTTCCCGCTTCATTTTTTTTTTTCGTCGACATTTTCATTTTTCAATCCTTCCTTTGGGCCGAAGGGAGGGACGTACTCGCATCCCTCCGCCTACACGACTTAATACATTCATACCGTACCATACGTCACCCTTCACTTCTCCTCGCGCCCCGTTCTTCCTGCTCTGCTCTTATACCTCGGTATACATACCCTCCTGCTGTACCCTGCCTTGCGTCGCTGCGACGCGAGGCGGGTGGCGTGTCCCTTCCTCATTCCCCTCCCCTCTCTCGTCCCCTCCTTTATCTTCCTCCCTTCCTCCTCCTCTTACTGAATCAATCCTCTCCCCATCCAGCCCTCCGAATTCACCCCCCTCACCGCGCTGCGCATGTGCAGCCTCATCAACGAGGCGGGCTTCCCGAAGGGAGTGGTTAATGTGTTGGTCGGGTGCGTTGCGTTCCTTGCCTACGTGATTCCGTTTTCGTTTCGTTTGCGTGTTTTTCTTGTGGATGGCCATCACTTGAGGAGTGGTGTGCTTCGGTCGTCGTGGTATATCCGGAAGGCGACGATCACGTTGCGAGAACGGAGAAAGGGAGAGGTGCGCGTTAGGAGAGGAACACTGTGCATCACGGCGACGGCGTCTTGGCGGGGCCGCGTGAGGATGCTCTCGTTCGTGGGGCGCGGCGTCGTTTGTGCGGAGGGAGCAAAGAGTTTGTTGTGGAGATGCTCCGCCTCAGCGGCGCCGGCTTGCTGTGCTTATTTTCTCTGTCCGCTGCTTCGTGCTGTTTCCTGCGCCGTCCTACTTTGTGGCGGTGGAGAGCTGTGGAGAGAACGGTTGTAGAGCGAAGACCGTCCGGAGAGGGCGCAGAGGGCGAAGGGGCGCGCTTCGAGGTGGAGAGGAGCACGGCCCAAGATGTACGGCGGCGGCGTCTTGGCGAGAGAGAAGACGCAGACACTCGGGAGGAGACCGCCAATGAAGAGGCTGCGTGTATGAAAGAGTGTTTGGAGAGGGCCGTGGCGGTTTGTGGGCCGCGGACGTCCGTCTCGCTTTGAAGCAGTTCTACGGGAGGAGCGGGCGGGGCCCGGGGCGTTTTGTGTTTCGACAGCACAACGCAGCGCAGAGGAGCCGATCCTATACTTTTTACCTTTCTACCTTCTTCGTCCTCCTTCTATCAGAGAAAGAAAGACGCTGTTTTCTGACTGCCCTCTTTTGGCAGGTACGGCCCGACCGTCGGAGCAGCGATCTCGGAGCACATGGATATCCAGAAAGTGGGTCGTCGCCTCTTTCTTGTGCCCCCCGCCGTCATCATCGTTCCTTCCCTCTGATCGCCCTACACTCCTTTCTGACGTTCTCCACCACTTCTCTCTCTGCCACGTTGGCACTCGTGCGCTCTTCGAGGCGTTGGTGCCCATCGAGCACTCTTTCTCCCCGTGTTGTACCCCCGCCGCCCTGCTTCCTTTCTTCGTACACGCCGCCACGTCGCGCGGTTTCTTCATCTCCATCGGCACATTCCACTTCTCCTTCTCCTCTCTCCCTCTTCGTTGCGTCTGCCACGACCTTTCACACGCCCCTCCTCTCCGCTTTCCCTTCCCTTCCTTTCCATCCTCCCCTTCCTCTCCTCATCCTCCCCGCCCTTGCCTTCCATCATCCCTCTCACTCGCCCTCGTTCCACGCCACTCTATCGATCTTATCACTTTCATCTCCACTTCCCCCTTACTGACCCATTCTTCCCCCAGGTCGCCTTCACCGGCTCCACCCTCGTCGGCCGCAAGGTCATGGCCGCCGCCGCCGCGTCCAACCTCAAGGTGTGCTGCCGTCTCTCAATCTTCACCCCTCGTTGTTATCCCCGCGACCTAACACCCGCCCCTTCACAGAACGTGACTCTCGAGCTGGGCGGGAAGAGCCCCAACATCATCTTTGACGATGCGGATTTGGAACAGGCGGTTAATTGGGCGGCGCATGGGATTTTGTGAGTTTATTGCGACTTGTGATGCTTATTCGAAAAGGAGGAGGGGGAGATTGGTAGCCTCGTGAGGGAGCGCATTGGCGGGTGTGGTGCGGGGGCGTAGATGCTCAGCGCTGAGAGGAAGACGTCGAGTACCGGGGGATGATGTGCGGCCTTGCGAGGAGGTACCACAGCGGGTGGAGTGTGGACGTGGAGAACGAGGGCGTGATTGGGGTGGGCGGTGCCGTTGAAGACCGCGCTGGCCGTCAGCGCGGTGCCACAGGAGCTCACGCTGGCGGTGTGTCGCGTCAGGGAGAGGGCATATGTCGAGGATGCGGCGACGGCGCTCCAGCGCAGTATAGGATGATGTCGCTGGAGTGCGCACGATGGGGATGACGAGCGTCCTTGACGGGCGGGTGTGGACAATGGGGTGACGTCCGTGATGTGGTGATGACCTGAAGAGCAACCGCCGATATGGGACTTTTAACGCAGGGTCACGTCCTGGACGTGAAAAAGAAGGGCGTGGTGTGGGTGCGGGTGCAGCTTCGGGGAGAGGACGTACGTCGTGGATGTGGCGCAGGATGATGTCTCTGCGTCCGAGGTCGTGCATGGAGGATGTCGTGGTGCGTGGACGACGAGCGTCATCGGCGGAGGATGCTGTACGTCACCCGCAGGAGGGCGTGCTCTGACGCTGTGGCTCGTTGATGGGAAGACGTTCGGCGCAGCATAAGGACGAACTACTGCACACTCGGCGTGCTTTGGCATCGTGGGTCGTCGACGGAGAATATGTCCCTCCGGCGCATGCCTTGGGGCGTATCGATGGGCGCTGGCGTCCG